AAAAAAAGATGGCGGTGCCCAGCTGATGCCGGTACCAGGCCGCGGCATCCAGCTGATGCCGGTACCGGGCCGCGGCATTAAAAAGGTTGGGGATCACTGAAGTAAACAATGCCCCAATCAAGAAACTAACAAAGAAGCCAACACCGAACAGGCCAACCAAAGAACCTCCAATATGCCCTCCCCCAACACTGAGAGGGGAAGCCACTTGAATATAAACAGAGAGCAAACCCCCTTACTAAACACTGACGATGTTACCTAGTTTGAAACATCTGCAAGAAAACAAGCAAGCTCAGAGAGCACCAAGGACCCTCTCAGGCAAGGGAAAAAAAAGAAAATATAATCCAAGGAATTGAAGAACAAACCCTTTTACTCAGAAATTTTTACCCCTTGGAAATTTGTTGTAATAGATTATATGGATAAAATCACAATTGCACACTTTTTGAGAGGACACCGAAGGATATGAGCATTGTAGACCTTTTAGCAGCAGAGGAACTTTTGAATGCGATGGATCTTCTTGGATGGTGCTTCTCACACCTACTTCTGGTTTGCACAGAATTTTTCCTGCAGCCCAGAACAAATGGCCTTGAAAACAAACTGCATTCCCACCCCCCAAAAACCTCATTTCTTGGTTGGGAAGAATAGAAGGCCTATGCTGGAGGGACTATTCTATCAGCAGGACAGGTTCTCCAGCAATGAGCCCTCCTAAGATTAGAAAAAAAAAAAGCTGCAGGGGGAGCAATCCCAAATTGATTCAGAGACCCAAGAGACCCTGTCTGATGCTTCCTCCTGGGCCAACTTTGCTACTATTGCTGATGACAACTGCAGGAAAAGAACCAAGATAACCCTGATAACCCAGGAAGGACTCCAAGCCCCCATCTGCACAACACTGAAGGCAATGGCTTCAAACTCTTCAGAGAAATTCCTGCCAAAGAAAGTTACCGCCATAGTGAAAGGTTTCTCTTGCCTGATGTGACCAGAGGATGAAGCAGATCAGTCCAGGCTTCCTCTCCATCCACCTTCAGATCTCAAAATAGGACCAGGCTTCCTCACAGTCAACACAAAGCCTGACTGTTGCTTGCTGGCAGAACAGATGCAGATTCGCACATGGGTCTACTTTCTTGCAAGGGCTCCCCTCGCCTTCTTTGTGCGCTGGCAGTTTATGGGTTAACGGGAGAGAGTGTTTTTTCCTAGCCAAACTGCAAGTCGAGACTGTGGCTTGTTCCCTCCCTTTCAAAATCCTGTTGGAATCCTCTCCTGAAGGAAAGAAAAAGTCTTGCTTCCTCCAGATCTCTGGGTATTATGATGCAAGGATCCACTAGATGGCGATGTCTGCAAGCACCTTTGATTCACAGCTCATCCAAAGAGGCCATCAAGCATATTTAGAATAGAATAACAGAGTTGGAAGGGACCTTGTTGTAGGTCATCTAGTCCAATCCCCTGCTCAAGCAGGAGCCCTACACCATTTCTGACTTCTGATTTCTGGCTGTCCAGTCTCTTCTTGAAAGCTCCCAGTGATGAAGCACCCACAACGTCTGGCCTTTGCCCAACTTTGCATTTATGCTCCTTATGATCCGAATGCAAAGATCTTTCTTGATCCATTCTTGAAAAATGAAAGATTTTTTATTCCCAAAGAAGTGGAAGCTTAATACTTGTTTTCTCATACACGCTTGACAAACTAAACTAAATAAATAAATAAAATAAATTATTGAGTCTGTCATCTGCACCTCTATAACTGTCTGGTACGGTTCTGCAGCCCAACAGGACAGACACAAACTTCAGAGGATAATGAGGACTGCAGAAAAAAAACAATTGCTACCAACCTACCTACCATCATGGATCTGTATACTGCATGAGTCAAAAAGAGGCTGTGAAAATATTTACAAACCCCTCACATCCTGGACATAAACTGTTTCAACTCCTTCCCTCAAAATGACGCTAGAGCACTGCACGCCAGAACTAGACACAAGAAGTTTTTTCCTGAATGCCATCACTCTGCTAAACAAATAATTCCCTCAATATTGTCCAACTATTTACAAAGTCTGCATTACTATTAACCTTCTCATCACTCCTTATCACCCATCCCCTCCCACTTGTGACTGTATGACTGTAACTTTGTTGCTTGTATCCTTATGATTTATATTGACTGTTTCCTAGTATGACTATCATTAAATGTTATACCTTATGATTCTGGACTCTTGACAAATGTTATCTTTTATGTACACTGAGAGCATTTGCACCAAGACAAATTCCTTGTGTGTCCAACCACACTTGGCCAATAAAGAATTCTATTCTATTCTATTCTATTAATGAAGCATGGAAAATAATTCTAGTTCCAAGCTAAAGTGAAAGAAAAAGATTCAGAAAAATGTAAAACTGTAGCCTAAGACATTGACAGAATCCATATTTGCCCTTTGGAATCTGCTTATAAATAACACTCTGGGAGTATTTAGAACAAGATCCAAAACATGAGTCCCCAAATTCCTCAACCCATTGATCCTCAAATGTTGATTATATGAAACTAATTTAATAAATATTACCTTAACTAATTCAATAAATATTACCTTATTGTTGGAAATAAAATTTGGTCCGTGTCCTGTTCCAAGCCAGGAGAAAAACATAGGCAGAGGAAAATAAGTTTGAGGCAGGCTGCAATTGGAAAGGTGGTCTCCACTTGCTAGCCAGAAACAATTGTGACAGCAGCATGTTTCTAGGATGGCTGACAAATTGATCTGGTCAGTAGATGAGTTTGTATGTTTTGGGGGCATTGTAATTGAAATGTCTGGGTGTGTGCAAGAATATATCATTTAATATTTATTTTAATGGCTGTTGCCAGATTCCTATGCGGTCATGTAGGATCATGACTGGTTCTATAGGCAAAAGGGAAATGGAAATAATAGATGTTTTGTTTGTCTGAGCTAATCTTGTCAGTTTCTGCTCCTTGCCTATTGTGCTGCTTATTCAGAGCTGCTGGCTGCCCTTTGTTTATGAATAGACTAGCCTGGCTTTATGCATGAATACAAAATATAGAGAAAGAATGAAGTTAGGAGATTTTGTAAAATAATTCTGGAAACAAGTCATACAAGGAGTCTTCATTTCAAAAGATCTAAGCCCCAGAACAAGAAAAAAA